TTTTTTTTTTTTAGACAAAGTCTCAAGCTATCGCCCTGCATAGCTTTAGCCTCCCATGTAGCTGGAACTATAGGCACCCACCACAACACCCAGCTATTTTTTGGTTGTAGTTGTCGTTGTTTGGCAGGCCCAGGCTGGATTCAAACCACCAGCTAGGGTGTATGTGGCTGGTGCCCTAGCTGCTTGAGCTATAGGCGCCAAGCCAAAGTTTAACTTTTTAAAAGGAAACTTGAGGAATATACTTAAACTTGCATTCAACTTGGACTATAAATTTTAGGCCTCTGGTAAGACCAGTCAGGATAGTTTCTTAACTAACTAAAAGCTATCCTACTTCCATTTAGAAGGCACTACATTTCTCTCTAGCCCTCAAGTGGGAAACTAAAGGCTGGTAACCTGAGGATGAACTGGCAGAGTATACGGGCTTTTAAGTCCAATAAGGGGCTTGATGCTTTCTAATCATGGCTGAATGGCCAGAAATGAAAGTTTAGTAGCTGCTGCTTTAGTGGCAATCTTTCCACTAAGCATCAGCTCAGTTCTGCCTTAAAATTAATTCAATTCCAAGACGGCTTTGACCCATGAAGCCCCTCTGTTGTTGAAGAGTGTTGATAGAAAATATGTCATCGATATAAAAATTATCTCCCAAGAGGGGGATCTTTTGGTCTTTCTTCTTCCATATATTACATCTTGGCTTTCATACATTGACATATTAACAACCCTTATCATAGCGTCTGTGCCATCTAAGGAAGATTAAACCCTGAAACTAAACACGTTTCCAGAATGTATGCTTTTTCTTTCCTATGCAATCTCACCAAGATCATAAGATCATAGGTAAACCTTATCTGGACACTTTGTAAAGCACCTGGATTCCTAGTGTATTTTACTTTCCCAGGCTTCTGTTGCATTCAAAATATAAAGCTAGTTTCTCATGCATATGCCAAGACTAAAATTGTGTGAAATGAAGCCCATGCAGATCTGAACCACCACCACTTTTTATAATTAAAAAAGTGTTGTTACTAAATTAAAGGTAAAACTGAATAAAGTATTAATGGAAATAGGAATGATTTGAATAGGAAAGACTGAAAATATACATACTCTTAATGTTATTCTCCACCATCCTTCTCTCTCAACAGATGAAGGCTTTCGGATTGATTTCTATCAACAAACACAAAATAAGCTTATTCATTTGAGAGGTGATCCCTTGAAATTAAATATAATTTATAAAACATTTGCTTGAAGAAATACCTGCAGCAAACTGATAAGCCTTCATTAAAATAAAAACTATGTAATGGTAATTTTTGCCTATATTTCCTTAAATTGCTATTTTATAATTTTAAGCACTTTTAAATAACTAAATTCCCTTTGGTAAAATTATAGCAATAAATATCCCCCTTTCACAAAGATGCTTTAAGGATATTAGATGGGACAAAATTCATTGTTCTTGACAAAGGAACTATTGGGCTTGAAGCCAGACAGACTTGGGCTTGAACCACAGCTCTGCCATTACCAGGTAGGTGCACTGGACAAGTTACTCAACCCTCACACTTCCTCATAGGGGAGTAAAAAATAAAGCCCTACCAGAGGTGGTATAAAAATAAGGTGCTATACAAAGACTTGCACCCACAACCAGTGCTCAATAAATACTAACAGCAGCTTTAATTTTTAACTTTATATGCCAAATTAAGAAGCAGAATATTCTAGTATTCCTCAGTTTCAAAGGAAGCTCTCATCTATCACAGTAAGTATATCTATTTATTACTGCTTCACCTTTGTTTCAGCCCCACTGTCCACAGAACATAGCTGTTTACTTTTTCTTTTGGCACTATTTCTCCTCAGTAAAATTATTAAAATATTTTTACTTTCAATTGGTAATGCTTTTGTCATTACTATGAAATATGGTTTATTGCAAGCCAAGAGTGCATTACAAAGTAATAGCCTAATCAATAAAACTGATACGTGTAGTATAATTCATTCTTCCTGTCTAGTAACAAATCTGTCCTGAATACTACTGAGTTTTAGTTTTACTATGAAATATGTGCATTTCTCCAAAAAACATTGTTTCATGCACATTGCTAAGTCTGAGGTTCTTCCCATACATTTTTTCAGATTTATGCTGAATCTGTCTCTGTTGCACATATAGCCACAGAAAGAAAACTTTCTCAGGCAGATCAAAACAGGTCTCCCATTTCTACCCAGAACCAGGGAAATGAGGTGAGGAGGAGAGAGGGAGAAGAGGGGAGAAGTAAAAGATCAATCATATAATCCATCTAAACTTTAGATTCAAGGAAGGTAACTGGCAGCTGCTACTTAGTTTTGCCCAGGGCAGATCAACTCAACTCCCTCCATCTACCATTTTAAATAACACTTTACGAGGAAAGATAAATGATAGGTTAAATATCCCTCCAAAAAAAAAAATTTTTTTTTTTTTTTTTAGCAAAAAGGCAGTAAATCTTTTTATAAATACTAAAGTGGGAGGTGGGACAAAATGTGTCTGATAGACAAAAAAAAAAAAAAAACAGATGGAGAGGAAAGGCTAAAGCACTTGTCCAGTGAAAGTGGGAAAAAGGGAAAAATACAGAGAAGGGGAAGGGAGTCAGCTGGGGAACAGGAAATAAAACAAAGGAAAAAGCGAATCAAGACCAGGAAGAAAGGGCCTGCGGATGTACACCTGAGGGCCAGGAATGAAAGGAAGCGAGAACCAGAGTGGCCCAAGAGTCTGGGATGAGAGAAAGAGGAGGGGAAAGGGCAGGGAGGGCTGGTGAAGGGAACAGCAGTGGGGGCAGCAAGAGGATGACCTTCGAATCTACACGCCTCAGGTCTTTTCTTTGTGTGAGGGAAGTGATGGCTGGCTGATTCATGGCCGCCTCCTCTCTCCCTGGGCCGAGCCTGGCGTCCGGTTGCTAGGCGTCGTCTCTGGCCCGCGGGGTCCTGAGCGTGCGCAGGCGACCCGCCAGGTCTGTCTCCAATGGCGGGGGAAGGGAAGCCTGCGCACACTTTTGAGGCCTCTACGCCAAGCCTCGCACATTGGAAATCCTTCAAGAACCGACAGACACATACACGTGGGATGAGAAAATCTAGAGGACTCCGGAGTTGCCTTAGAGCCCTCGGTAAGTAACTGCATCAAGAGAGGCATTTTAAGGGCTTGAGTGTATCCTCCGTCTCCATCAGCTCCTCTCAATCCCACAGCCTAGACAGGTGGACAGTATACTAGATAAGGCATACTTAGCACTAAGACAAAACTCCTCCAAATAGAAATTCTGGGGGCTGACTTCTCTTGCCTCTCATTTGGGAAGTTGAATGAGCACTAGAGGTTTTGGGCAGCTGTGAAACCACCCTGTACCCTTTCAGCCTCTCTTGGTCTGAAGCTCCTCAACACAGAAACATCCTAAAACCAACCTTCCCTCAACCTTCATTTTATTCAACCTGTGTTCCAAGGACTTCACATATGTATTAATCTTACTTAATCCTCACAACCACCCCCTTAAAGGTTTTTGGATAAGGAAATAAAAACTTCTTTAGTTTAGCAAAATTGAGCACCACCCAAAAAATCAGAGCCAGAATTCGAACCCAGATCCAACTGACTCAGCCCCCCTCCCCCCGCCACCACAACCATTAAGTTTCTACTTTCCTTCACAAAATTAAGAGTAATGTACACTCAAATTCTCACTTCCCTAAAACCATCTTAATCTGGCAGGGGCACACACCTTTCAAAATTGCACTTCCTAAACTCGCCAAACAGAGCAGGGATTTTCAGCTCTTACCAAGCTTGGCCTTCAATTTTCATTGCTGCCTTGATGACTCCCTCATTTTTTAATCCTCTGCTCTCCCTTTTACTAGGATTTGAATGATGACTGCATTTGCTATGCTTTTACTCTGTGTTTGTTTCCCTGTCTATAAAGGGGATAATAAATCAGTATACACCCATATAGGGTCATTATAGGTTAACTTGAGTGAAATGCGCTGAACAATGTCTGGCACCGTGCATTCAGGTAATTGTTAACTGTCATTCATTACCTTTAGGACAAAAGCAACATTTACAATCCAGTCTTTTACCTCTTCTTGCAAGACCAAATAGGCCATCTGCACACTTCCTTTCTCTACTCATGCTAGTCTTCCTGCATGAAACACCATTCCCTTCTTTAATCACCTCAAAATTCTCAAGGGTCAGCTTCTCTAAGTCTTCCATTATGTCCCAGAAGAACCTGTGCCTATCATTAGTGGGCTCATTTTATGACAAATTGCTTCTCCCCTAATTTTAAATTTTAAAACATAGGTTTTAATTTTGAGCCCTTTGAACATAATAGACTAAAATACTTACTGAGCAAATGACTAGTTTTCTAGGTAAAACCAGTGACTGGATTACAGCAGTGCTTTTCAGAAACTGACATGCATGCAGATCACCTGGTGATCTTTTTAGAATATATTCCAATTCTGGGGGAAGGCCTAAGATTCTGCATTTCTAGCAAGCTCCCAGGTGATTCTTTGGGTGACTTTTTGAGGAGCAATAGACTGAAAGACTCCCAAAATGAATTACTTTAAAAATATTGGGATTCTAAATACATTTAACACAGCCTTTAAGAAACAAGGCACTGGATTTAAAATGAAGAATTAAAATTAGAAGACTAAGGAGGAAGCAACACCAAGAGTTCTCACAAATCTAAGACACTGTGCTTCATTTTTCTTATTTTGGCTAAGCCTATAAAACTGGCTCAGCAGACTAGGGACTGGTACCCTAGAGACTAAACGGAAAAAAAAAAAAAGAAGAAGGTACAAAGAAGTCCAGAAACCCACACGAGGTGTGTAATTGAAGAGAACCTCTAGATGAGAAAATAGTTTTAAGTATGTCAAAAATAGTAACAGCATGGGTCAGTGATTTTAAAGATTCTATCTGTGTAACAGATTAAACATGTAAGATAAAAAAATATCCCTCAAGTCTTGTGTAAGTATCACTAAGACTTTCAGGTTAATGTAACAATTTGAAAATTGGGGGAAGACATTTCTCTTTGAGAGGACTATAATAGAAGTTCAACAGTGCCTCTGCTATGAGTCAGATCTTTTAAAATTTTTTACATTTCTAAAAATTTGGGGAAAATACTTGATACTGAGGGTATTTAGCTGCAATAGTGATAGTTCATTGGTAGAACCTGAGAGCAAACATGACACAGATGCTGTTAAGAATTATCAATTACCACAACCTATATAAAACTAATATGGTTAAATAAAACCTGAAGGTGTTATTTTAAAATCAATCATGTTGTAGAACATGCTAGCGCGGAGAAAAGAACTCATCTTGGTATGACCAGTTAAACTGTTCTATAAAGATTTCATCAACATACAATCACCAGTTGACATACAAGTCCAAAAATGTTTCTCCTTCACCTTATCCCCATTATTCGTAACTCGATCATGTTACATAAATTTCAAACTGTTAAAATTGGAGAAACACCACAAAGTACCCAATTCTCTCATTTCACAGGGTCATATATTACTGGTTTAAAAAGCACAGTTGACATTACCAAATGTCAAGGACTGTGCTAAGTGCTTTACTTTTATTATTTCACTGAACTTCTAAAAAAAACCCAAATTACATCCACCTTACAGGTGAGATAACTGAGGTGTGGATAATAAACACCGCTGCAATAAAACTCTGAAATCCATGCTTATTTTAACATCTGGAGAAAATACCTCAATGGCTAGACCCTCTTATCCTATCTAAATACCTTTAGATTTTAGATTTCCCTTTGACCAAACTACATTTGTCAATACATTTAACAAAAGGGGCCTCAGCAGTGTACATATCTTCAACCTTCCAACTTAATCACCCAACATGTGATAATGTAACACCCTCATTAAGATTATCAATGCTGGCTCAGCGCCTGTGGCTCAAGTGGCTAAGGCACCAGCCACATACACCTAAGGTGGTGGGTTCAAATCCAGCCCGGGCCTGCCAAGCAACAATGGCTGCAACCGAAAAAAAATAGCCAGGCATTGTGGCAGGCGCCTGTGGTCCCAGCAACTTGGGAGGTGGAGGCAGGAGACTCACTTGAGCCCAGGAGTTGGAGGTTGCTG